AACTAAAATTTGAAAATGAATTAAAAAAAAATTGCAAAATAAACTTAAAATAAAACAAATCCCAATAATATCAAGCAATGTAAATAGTATATCTTTGAGGACATTAAGTGAAATTGTTGTCAAAAAAATCAACAATCAGAATAAAATTAACACAAAGATGTTGATTATGGACAATATCAAACCAAAAGAATTAGGAGTAGAAATTCAACATATCCGAAATCAAAATAATGAAGTAATCATACGGTGCAATGACGAAAAATCAAAAGACAAACTCTATCAGGAAATTAAAGGAAAATTAGGTGTAAATGTCTCAGTTGAAAAAGGTAACACTGAAAAAATGAAAAGGATTGATTTTAAGATTACCAAACACAATGAGGTAATCAATGAGATATTGGCAAACCATATAATAGCTCTACATAATTTGAATAATAAGGCTAAAGCATAGTCATAAAAATAAATAGTCTGGTAACACGGGTTGAAAACAATAGGTTTTCCCGTTGATGTTAGGTTCTTATCCGCGTTAGTACCCAGCCTACTTTAAGGTGCAAAACTAAACAAATTTCTTTAGAGATCTTGAATCAAAATACAATGCCTGGAGCAAATTGTTCAGTATATGGTTGTCATACCTCTCGTTATTCACATGGAATAGCTATATTCAGTCTTCCTAAAGGTCAGGATGACTTAACCGTTCAATGGAGAAAAAAACTGAGCGAGATTATAACAAAAGATCGTTTAATTGATTCAGCTTTAAGGAAGCAAATTGCCAGTGAATCTTTGCATATTTGTGAGAGACACTTTAAAGAAGATGAAGTTAATAGAAGTAAGCTTAACTACTGTGCTTATATATATATATATATATATATATATATATATATATATATATATATATATATATATATATATATATATATATATAGAGAGAGAGAGAGAGAGAGAGAGAGAGAGAGAGATTTATATATATATAATTTATATATATATATATATAATTTTTATATATATGTATATATAATTTATATATATATATATATATATATATATATATATATATATATATATATATATATATATATATATATATATATATATATATATATAATTTATATATATATATATATATAATTTATATATATATATATATATATAATTTATATATATATATATATATATATATATATATATATATATATATATATATATATATATATATATACACATAGATTCAACTAGAGCAAGACTTATACCAGGAACTTTACCTTCACAAAATTTACCAATAAAGAGTGTTCAAACAACCAGGTAAAAATTTTCAAAATAATATAAGCTTAGTTTTTCTCTATTTTTTTATTTATTTTTTTTATTTTTGTTTTTTAGTTTATTAAAGGCTTTTTATACAAGTTTATACAAGGCTTTCGACACTAAGTATTACGTCAAAAAAAGATTGCAATGAATCAGGCAAATACTTTTGATTTACATAGTGTTTCACCATTTATGAAATTTTTTTGGACTGAGCAGCAAAAATACCTTTTATCAAATCCAACATCTGTGCGATATCATCCGATGATTATAAGGTATTGCCTTAGTCTTTGTGCAAAGTCTCCTAGTGCATACGAGGATATTCGCTATGATAAAAAGTCTGGTACTGGTTTTCTTGTATTACCAAGCCGTCGTCGTCTTCGCGACTACAAGAATTATATTCATCCTCAACGTGGTTTTAATCCAGATATTATTAAAGAGTTAAAATCAAAAGTAAAAGATTTTAGTGATGTAGAAAAGTATATTGTGTTGTTGTTTGATGAGATTAAAATTCAAGAAAATCTTGTATGGGATAAACACACAGGAGAAATTATAGGATTTGTTGACCTTGGTGATATCAATTTAAATTACGCAACTTTACAAAAAATTGATGCTGTAGCCACTCATGTTCTTGTGTTTATGATTCGCAGTATAGTTAACCCTTTTAAGTTTACACTAGCTAATTTTGCAATGCTTGGAATATCATCTGCTCAAATTTTTCCATTATTTTGGAAAGCTGTTGGTATTTGTGAAATGGAATGCAAGTTGAAAGTTATAACTACAACTTGCGATGGCGCTTCTTCGAACAGAAAATTTTTTAAAATGCATTCACGCTTATCTAACTCGAATGTTAAAAAGGATGTAGTTCTCACATATAAAACAATAAATTTATACTGTCCTAAAAGGTATATTTACTTTATAGCTGACCCTCCACATCTTCTAAAAACAACAAGAAACTGTATTTACAGCTCAGGCTCTGGTAAATGTACTAGATACATGTGGAATGATGGTTTATACATTCTATGGAGTCACATCGCAGACATTTTTAAAGAAGATCAAATATGTGGTTTACATCTACTCCCGAAATTATCGTATGACCACATTAAATTGTCATCTTACTCTGTTATGAATGTCAAATTGGCAGCACAAGTTCTAAGCACTACTGTAAGTAAAGTCCTTCTTAACTATGGATCTCCAGATACATTTGCAA